ATGTAACGGTATCAATAAGTGGAAATTGTACCTAACTGAGACCAGGAACTGGGGCAAAGTACGATTGTATCAAATAGTAAAGTATCAAAGCTGTGTAATTGTAGATTATGCTAGTTTTAGTGTACCTATAATCTTAATTTTATTAATGACAGGAGGTGAGTATTTGCTTAAATCTCTCTTTACTAGAACTCCACAGCAGCACAGATAAAACAACCAATCAGAAAAAAGTTAGGTACTATAAAACTCCCCTCCCCATGCATCAGTGCCTCTTTCAAGCTGCGACAAAACAAAGTAAAAGGCAGAAAATCTAATGGGGAAGAAACGAAGTCCTAGATACAATGAATACAACAATGTCCACCATCCGAGAAGAACTGCCAAACCAGATAATGTTGATGGACTGTAAACTGAAACGAGAGAAAAACAGAATCTAACAAGTTGGTTAGCCAATGAAATGTACTCTGAACAAACATGTAGGTACCCAATGTAGCAACCAAAATTACCTTAATATGTAGATATCCCAACCCTACTTATGAAAAATAGACATAACGACAGGTGACAGGTAGCAGAGACAACAAGCAGAGTTGCATACGTACCTGATTAATCCAAACTATTAAAATTTGTACGTGGGGTTGCAACCTGTTTCCTAGCCGCTGGTCCATGAGCTGCGAAGCTGACCTATTAGCCATTCTCCTGTAGTTGTAAAATGTCGAAGGTCATTTGCGGACCTAGGGCCGCGAAAAGAAACTGGCACCATGTCACAACTCTTGATGTGTAAGGTGGCTCCTCCGATCGTGCCAGGGTCACCCGGCAATGTGGCCTTGCAGGTAGATATCCAATCTCCAGGAATGCATCTAAGTCCACCACCAATTCCGTAATAGAACAGAGTAGGATCTTTCGTTCCCTCAAGACCTACCCGGTGAGATGTCTCATCCGAGAATACATTTATTATGCAGGCAAGAGTGTGGTCAAACTAGCCGTATCCTAAGTGATTCCAGTATTCCAAATGCACTGTGTAATCCTCAGCTGCGGTAGAGAAAGTACTCCAAAGGGACGTCCAATCAGGGCCCCAAAGTGAACTTGTGTGGTGGAACGGTGGTCGACTATTCTGGGGATAGTGAATCCTGGAAATATTCAAAGGGATAAGAAAAGTAAACCAGGTTTGAGATTTCCATCCAGATACGTCCTTGTCTAAGAGATAAGATGTATGGATCCAATGGTGGTTGGGACCTGTATAACAACGAAGAGTTCTCACTTGCTGTAGTGAGAGAGTGAACCAATCCGATTACCCGTAGTACGATCCTGTTCCATGCCTGATCTGTCAAAATTTGTGTAGGGATTCCTGGTCTACACGCCACCTACCAATACGCAGGCAAGGCGTAAAGTCCCTTCGCTCACGACAGGTGACTTCAGAGAGCAGATATAACGAAAAAACAAGGGTCTAGCTTCAACCGTCCGAATCATGTGTTGTCCCATTTGAGAATATCGGCAGCCCTTATCTGAGTCTGCTACACATCCTGAGCAGTACTTCAGTGGTAGATTGCGACCAGAGTTTGACGTCCGTGTAGGAGTCGGGGCACCCCGGGTTCCTCCATAGAGTCTCATAGGTCTCCTTGATGGTAGTTGAAGAAGTGGATTAGCGAGAACCCGAACCAAGACGGCTCCCGTGAGGGATATAGAGTATAGACGGAGGGCCCTCCATCTCTTAACCATGTTCTCCAGATATGTGCTCAGTGGAGTAGGGCAGTTCTGTCCTCTTATCCTAAGATTGTAATGACCAGAGAACTCAAGTCAATCTGGATTTCCGGTCTTTCCATGCGTACCGTGTACCTGCAGACTGGGTAGTGGGCGTTCCCTAGCCTTGGTACTCGAGCAAGGCAGTGCCCGTTTGCTCCATGAAAGTCTCAGTATCTCATGTCATCTTGACATGGGAAAAACTATCAGCGTAGTTTGTTCGCAATGGTCCGGATATCTCAAACAGAATGAAATTGTCTGTTTCATATAGCGCAGCATATTCTAAAACCTGTGCTCTTGTAATATCTGTTTCTTACTCCAGGGATGGACTAGGTACATAATACTGAAGCATAGGGGTTGGAACCTACGCATAATAGTGCAACATAAAGGCTTCAAAGTATCATATCAATCCAACCAAAGGATATGGGAACATGATCCACGTGTTTCTCTAGCAAGCGTCTAAATACACAGCAGATACTTGTGACTGTAGTGCTTAGACTCTTGCTGTACATGGGATTTGAACTCATGGAGGAAGATTCCCAGTGCAAGTCTGTAATCACTGAGCTACCTTAGGTAGCATACAATAGTGTGCTTACTCTTGATCTAATAAGAGGTAGATAATGAGAGGAGAGTCATTGGCTGTAGGGCACAGTCATGTTATCAGTTCAGCCCAAAATGATCTCTTACTGGCCAAATGTAAGGCGAAACCCTATCATTGAATAGTAAGTCTTGTTGATGCCTGAAGTGAGCTACATGACTTCTGGCTCTGTATGTGCCATGTTACAGAGGCAGAAACCCGGTGGGGGAAGAAACCTTGAGGTCTGACCACCGTGGGCCGGTCCATGCAGAGCCGGCGCACCCTCACTCACACACACCGCACCCTAACACACACAGCACCCTAACACACAGCGCATTCTATCACACACAGCACCCTCACACAGCACCCACACACACACACATCACCCTCACACAGCATCCTAACTCACAGCACCCTCCCTCACACACACAGCACCCTCACACACACTGTACACCTCACACACAGCACCTCACACACTCACAAATACATATCCCTCACATACACAGCACACTCACACACACACACATACTACACTCCTTGTGATAATATTCCATTTTTATTAAGCATGATTGATCACCATTGAGCAAATGAAACTATTATAGATGGCTAAGATGGCACTTGTCTTAAACTGTGTCGCACTAAGAAATTCAACTAAGATGACATAGCATAAAATGTTCTATAACATATCTGGCCAATATTCAATAAGGCCCACGTGCTAAAAAGTGGGATTTGTCAGCAATGTTTAGAAAGATAAGAGTATAGGGACATAGTTTTATAGAAAAAGGTACCGCATGTGTTTGGCATGGGCCTTGGGTGGTCATGACTGGCCTGATCAATCATAACGATTACTTAATGCGCATGACATATACATGCTGGGCTGCACTGATAAGAAATCTTGGAAAAGTTACATACTTGGTAAAAGGTATAAAAGACAAAGAAACTTGGCACTCACTTGGAGAACTACCCACCTGTAATGCAGACACGTGTTGCTGGTCTCTGCTGTTCCCAGAAAGAGGGCCCCTCCAAGTCTGACTGCCTGAGTTCCCCCAGATTTGGCTAATGCCTTCTTCACTATTCCAATAGCTGAAGAAAATCAAGAGCAGTTTGCTTTCACATGGTTAGGGAGGCAATACACATTCACAAGGTTGCCACAGGGATACTTGCATAGTCCCACCATCTGTCATCGCCTGGTGGCAGAACATCTTGATGGGGTAAAAATACAGTCAGAGGTGAAAATATCCCATTATATCGACGATGACATTATGATTCAGGGAAAGAGTGAAGAACAGTGTCAGCAGATTCTTGAAGAGATCATTGAGCACATGAAGAGCAAAGGGTGGGAGATAAATCCCAATAAAATACAGGGACCTGCTCAAACAGTAAAATTCTTAGGAATACAGTGGAACAAAGGACACAGGGAAATCCTTCCAAAAGCTAAGCAAAAAGTGCTAGAGTTTCAAACTCCTAAAAGCAAGAAACAAGCTCAAAGCTTTATAGAACTCTTTGGTTTTTGGAGACCACGCATACCACACCTGATTTAGTTACTCTCCCCTTTGTACAAAGTAACCAAGAGAAAACATGATTTTGGGTAGAAGAACAAACCGGATTTTTTATTTGGCCTTTTTTGGAGCTGAAAAAAGATGATTTTAGAAGAAAGAAAACATCGAATGGTAAGTTTTATTTTTTTTTACAGGTACTTAGTTAAAGGTCCCCCCCTCATTATTTTTAGGGTGATGGGGATAGGTAGGGGGTTAATTGTTTTTTGGGGGGCAGGGGGTGACTAGGGGTTTGGGGACCCCTAGTCACCTGGGGGGGTAAAATTTTTATTTAGGACCCTCCCGCCGCTCAGGGGTGGGGGCCGGGGGGGAGGACAATAGGTCCCCCCCTTAGGGCCCCCACCCACCGCTCGGGGTAGGGGCCAGGGGGGAGGACATTAGGCCCCCCCCTTTATTAGTAGATAGCTCCCTAATACCGTGGGAATTAGGGAGTTATCTACTTATTCATTCCTGTCATTACACTGACTGGCTAAGTAACTTACATTTTATATGAATGTATGTTACTTCATTGTTGTAAGTGTTGCAAATGCTTGTATACTTTTTATTTAAAATTGTATACAGTGTAACATTCTTCATTCTTCCACTGGGTAAGTATATTAGTTCTTAGGCAATACTGTGCTTCGGCACTTCGGCAACTTCGGAACTTCAGCACTTCGAAAATTCGGTAATGTTGGAATTTCGGGACTTCAACCATTCGGCAATTCATCTATTCGGACACTCGGAGGTACCCGAATGTCCGAATGGCCCAAAATTCGTCCGAATTCACATTCGGACCGAAACGAATTGCACATGTCCAAACAGGACATACAGTGTTCTTACGCCCAGAGATACCTATCATGCAATGGGTACTTAGTTCCCCAAAGACACATAGGATAGGTCATGCACAAGAATCCAGTATTATAAAATGGAAGTGGTACATACAGGAGAAGGGCTAAAAGAGGAAATAGTGGTACGGCTGTAGTACATGAGAAAATTGCAGATGCACCATTACAAGAACCTGGTTATCTGCCAGAAGCAGACAAGCCAGGGGAATCTCCAGTAAAGTGGGGAAAGTCTTTTGCGCAACTAACACCGGATCAAGCAAAACATGCTTGGTTTACTGATGGTTCAGCAAAATACATTGGTAATGAGAGACAATGGAAAGCAGTGTCTTACAATCCAGAAACCAAGAAAATCTTGGTTTCTGGATTGGCTACATGGTTGCCTACATGGCAGTCACATCATTTTATGATTCATACAAAAGAAGTCTGGGGTACAGATTTGTGGGAGCAGATATGGGAGATAGTACATCAAAATGAGGTAACAGTCTTTCATGTCGATGCTCACTGTAAAACTGACTCATTGGATCGTCTGTTTAACTCTGTTGCAGACGAGAAAGCCAAGATCTCAGAAGCGTCTGTTGAAAATCTTAACTCACTTTTGGGATTGGCTACTTGGGCCCATCAGAAATGTGGACACTTGGGAGAGAAAGCCACTCACAGGTGGGCACAACAGCGAGGCATTTTAGTGCCGCTTGATTTAATTAAAACAGTAATTCTGCAATGTCCAGTGTGTCAGCATGAGCAGAATAGACATGTACCAGGGATGGTATGAGGTCAAATAAAAAGAGGAACAACACCAGGGCAAATATGGCAGGTGGATTACATAGGTCCACTTCATATGAGTAAAAATTGTCATACATATTCAAGATATTTATTGGTTCACCCTCGCAAGAGGGCTACTGAAATAAATACTATTAAAATGTTGGAAACCATAATACAGTACTATGGTCTCCAATTACAGATTCAGAATGACAATGGAAGTCACTTTAAAGGAAAACTGGTACAAGACTTTTGTGATGAAAACGATGTTGAATGGATATTTCACATACCCTACTATCCTCAAGCAGCTGGTCTGATTGAAAGAATTAATGGGTTATTGAAAAAACAATTGAGAAAACTTGGTGAAGGGACCATGCACAAATGGAGAGATAACTTGCCTACAGCTGTGAACATATTGAACAATAGGCCACTCTCAGTCCATGACACTCCCCTCACTAGAATGATTGCACCCAATATACAAGCTAAACCATATGCAACAACTTAATGAGAATTAAGCTTACTTTGTATTGGGTCCCCTTGTGGACAATAAAGTGTGGTGTGAATTTTTATCTTCAACTTGGTCTCTGTGTGATTTCTCTTACCTATAGTTCAAGATACTCATCCCAAACTGGGTTGTGTCGCTATAAACCTTATTAGGTATTGATTGTTACTTTTTGGATATTGGTGCTTCATGAATTTAATGATTAGGCACAACACCCACCACTCACACACACACACACTATACTCCTCACAAACGCACACTACACCCTTCACACACACACTGCACACCTCACACATACACACAGCAGCCCCCAAACATGCTGCCCCACATACACACACAATACTTCCAAACATATAAACATATGAATATATATACTACAGAACAGTGGCGTACACATAACCCATGGGGCCCCGGTGCAAAACTGATCCATGGGGCCCCCCTCTCCTTCCCTCTAACTACCCCCGACAGACAGGCACACACATACATACAGAGAGACACACACAGACAGATACATACATACACACACACGGCACATCCATACAAAGACACATACAGACAGGCACACTCACACACAAGACACACATACATACAAAGACACATACATACATAAAAACAGACAGGCACACACACATACATACAGACAGAGACAGACACACATACGACAAACACACATACAAACAGACAAGACACAGACAGACAAGACACAGACAGACAAGACACAGACAGAAACACATACAAACAGGCACACATACATTCACACACACACAAGACAAACATACAAAGACATACATAAGAACAGATAGGCACACAGACAGGCAGACACATACAGACAGACATGCACAAGACACACATACATACAAAGACACATACAGACAGAAAGATACATACAGACAGACACACAAGACATGCATACAAACAGACAGGCACACATACATACCGACAGACACAGACACACACATACAAACAAACACACACATGTAATATTTAAGTCACCCTCCTGTTAACTACCTTTTAAGTGCAGGAGGGTGACTTTCCATGGGGTCAAGTGGTGGCTCAGGTTGATGGGAGTCATTGTTCCTGCTCTGACTCCTTGTTCTTTCTCCCGCGCGGTCTTTGTGTGTTAGCTCATCACAGGGGACTCGGTCGTGCTGTTAAAGCGCCTAGCGCTGACCAGGCCCCCTGACAATCCATCTCCATTGGGTGGCCCTGACAGCATGGGCCACTCGATGGGCACCTTAACATGCGGCCCCGGCGGTTTGTCGCGCGGACCGGGGCTGGGGCCGCAAATGATGATGGCAGGCACCTGGTTGCAGGAGTCCGCAGGGCAGCCAGGTCCCCTTGAGAGATGGGCCCGGTCACAGCTGCAACCCCTGCGACCGCGGTATGTACGCCAGTACTACAGAACCCCTCACACACATACTGCATTCCAGACAAACACTAGATCCCTTACCCATCTCTGGATCATCAACATATATACACACCCAAGATCTCTATATACACTAAGAATCCTCTACACACACTCACTAGATCTCCTATACATACTCTGGGTCCTTCAAACACACAATAGATCCCCTACACATACGCTGCACCACCAAGACACACTGCATTTCTGACATACACACTCTGGATCCCCTATGCATATTCTAGATTCCATGTAAGCAAACACATTGGCAGGAAGCAGTGTATTGCTCTCACTGAGCACTTCCTGTCCTACCGGGTAGCGAAAACAGAGGCTCCTCTACCGTGTTCTGCATGCTCGGCTACACTACATGCAGTGACCGGCAGGAGGAGGGCGCTGTGCCGGTCACCCAGCGGACTGATCCTCCTCCCCCTGTTAGTACGCCACTGCAAACACTATAACCCCTTCAATGAGATTAAGCAGTTACAGTGCCTACAGTGTCCCTTTAAATTCTAAGTCACATTATAGGACAGTATCATCTTCCTATGGAATTATTGACGCACTGATTTCCAGTCTTTAAAGACTCCCACAATCTCATCTTGCTTACAGTGCCCACATCCCTACACATCTGAGGCAATCCCAGGACTCGTGCCAGGGTGATTTTGTACTAAGTAATAGTGGATGATGCCAGGGTTTGTGTGTAACATATTCCATGTCAATTTCCACTATAAACAGCAAACTCGCCCTCGTAGAGCCTCTGTCTGCAAGCGATATGTGTGAGCTGTCTGACACTGAGCAAGAACTTATGCAAGCTGAGACAGACAGGGAGCCAAACAGCTTACAGAGGAAGGCGGCTAAATCTAAAGCGTGCTTGTTTGTATTTTTAGTTACAAAAAATGTTTGAATTGAAAACTGCATATTCATTCAGGGTGCTTTTAAATGCACTGTTAATGCTGTTTGTGGACCCAACATTACAGCCTGCTCTACATGTAATGTGGACATATGAATTCTAGATTATTATTTAGCTCCAACATACTCCTCTGTGCTTTTAAAACTGAAGAAGAGGGATGTGCTTAGATGATTTTTGCAATCTAGATGATGTGGGGTACAAGTAAATCTCAGGTCCAGAAAGGTAAAGAGATCGCCAGGTGTTGTGTTATCTGTAACTAACAGGGGTAGGAAAAAGTAAGTAGATTTATATTTTTTTTTTTAAAGAGAGAGGAAGAGAAAAGACTGATAGGTTGGTATAGGGCATTCCATCATGAATTGCAGAATTCTTTTGTTAACCTCAAGTAGCCTCCTACCCCATATAGCCCATTATAAAGAACACTCTTATGACTGGCACTCTAATGTAGCAGAATTCTTCTGAATGTAGTAAGAAATTGACAACCACAAAGGATACATTTGCAAATCATTAAATTATGAGACAGGTTCTCACTGGGCTCCTTTGTGCACAAAAGAGGAAATGGCTTGCAGCAAAGATTCAATCCCGAAACCCGACTGGGATAAAAAATAGTGTAGAACAAAAAAAAAACAACACATTTACCAGGCCTGTTATCCTCTTATATAGTTACATTAGGCTGAAAAGTGACATAAAGTTCTGAAAAATTTACATAGGCTGAAAAGATCCATCAAGTTAAGCCTTTCAAACCTCATTTTTTGCTGTTGATCCAAAATAAGGCAAACAAATATGTTTTGAAGCGCTTTACAATTTTGCAACAAACTAGGAAAAATTGCTTTTTGACCCCAGAATGGCAGTCAGATCTCTCCTTGGATCAGGAAGCTATTGCCCATGTCTTATGGCGGTCTGTGATAAAAATCTATTTTTTAAATAAAGTTATATTTACCTATTCTATCTGCCATTTTCCTTTTTGATACCTATCTAGAGATCTAGCAAGAAATGTTATGTTAGAACAGAGCAGGGTTCTTCCACAAAGTTTACATATTTGACTGTGTATATCACTCCTATTACTGTTTATACATAATTTTCCAGTGATTTTTGGGATCGGAATTTAGCTATTGTCAGTATATTTATTAAAGCATGCTGTCTACATTTTTTATTTTTTTTTATTTTTTTAGTAATGTTTGATATCCTTTACCTCATGATACAGAAATATTTGTACTTTTGCCAATTTGGGTGTACTCCAGAGTGGTGATATCATTTGATTAATGTCCCCTTCCAATATTCCTATAGCAGTGTACAGTCAAACCCTATATGTTATAGTAGTTTTGCTATCTGTAATATGTTAATTGAAGCACAATTAAAGGGACACTATAGGCACCAAAACAGCTTTAGCTCAATGAAGCAGTTTTAGTGAATAGATAATGTCCCTGCGGTCTCACTGCTCAATTCTCTGTCATTCTTCATTGCATGTGACTTCCACAGCCTTCCACACACTTCCTGTAAAGAGAGAGCTCATGTTTAAAGTAACTTTTTTGCAAGTTTTGTTTATTTAAAATTTATCCTGCTTTAATAACCTTCTAGACCCTGTAGGAGCTCCTGTGTGTGAAAAAAAAGTTAAATTTACAGGCGATAAAAACCTCCAACGTAAGTTAACATCTGACTGAAAATGAAACCTTTTTTTCCCAAGCAAGCTGTGTGACTCATGGAAGATGTGGCAAGAGCTGCATAACCGAAACAAGTGTTTTTACGATTAAATGGC